GCAATGGCGCGATCTCGGCTCACCGCAACCTCCGCCTCCTGGGTTCAGGCAATTCTCCTGCCTCAGCCTCCTGAGTAGCTGGGATTACAGGCATGCACCACCATGCCCAGCTGATTTTTTGTATTTTTAGTAGAGACGGGGTTTCACTATGTTGACCAGGATGGTCTCGATCTCTTGACCTCGTGATCCACCCACCTCGGCCTCCCAAAGTGCTGGGATTACAGGCGTGAGCCACCGCGCCCCGCTGAAAAATTTTTAATAGTACTACTATACAATTCAACTATCTCATTTCTATATATAGAGTAAATTTACTATCTCAAAGAAATACCTACACCTCCATGTTCACTGAGGTATTTTTCACAATTGATTAGATATAAAAAAAAAAAATCTAAAGTGTTTGTAAAAACTGACTGCACAAAGAAAACATAGTATACATACAAAATATTATTCAGCCATAATAAATAATAAAACCCTGACATTTCTACAACATGGACCTAGATGACATTATGGTAAGTGAAACATGACAGAAACAGAAAGGCAAATACTATATGATCTTACTTCTATGGAGAATATAGTTAAGTTTGGAGTCTTAGAAGAAGAAATTATAGAGGTGAGTGCTGGGCCCTGGAGGTGGGGAAAGTGGGATATATCGTTCAAATAGTACAAATTTTCAGTTATAAGACAAGCAAGTTATGGTAACCTAAGGTATAGCTTTATGACTGCAGAAAGTAATACTGTTATGTATGCTGAAAATCTGCTGAGAGATCTTAATTGTTCTCACTACAAAAAAGGTAAGTAATATATTTGTTCATTATGTATACACATATAAAATTAATACATTGTATACAATATATAGGTATTCAATAATTTGTGAAAAAATTCACATTACTGGGATTGTATATATATGTATATATATTTTATATATACACATTTATACATATATATACTTATGGATGACAGTCATAGTAAGATTTATACTAAATAAAATTACGTCATTTAAAATAAAGTTAAAATTGGGAGTTTAATATGTACTCAGCAATGTTTTCAGCTCCCCAGTGACACAGTATAGTTAATAAATGTATGAAGTTGATAAACTGAACTATATTACAGTTGAGAAATTTGACCATATTTACCAACATTTATTTATATGAAAAGAGTAACATTTTGAAGTAACACAATTTTACAGTTTATTTCATTTACGGAGATGCTTAGTGTTTTGATATATAAATTTCTGTACAATCACGTTTGAAGACTCTACAGAATAGAAAATTATAAACCAGGAAGCATACATCTTTTTGTGGTGTTCCTGGGATTTCTGATCCAAATTGTAATATCACCAAAACTTAGACAGTATCCAGAAAGAAAACTTAAAAAATGGTTTAAAATATAGAGTTTCTCAAAAATACAGATATTGCTCTTTCCCCCAAAGCAACAGAAAAGCAGTCAAATCATACCTTTTCTTTTAAGCCATGAAAAATACTTTCGTGATCACTGTAAACTCAAAAAAAAAACCAAAAAGACAAAACAAAACAAAACAAAAACCCACACACTACTAAAGGGGAAGTACAGTGCTTAGAAAATTCACAAGAATAGGACAAAAAAATGCCCCTATGAAAAAATGATGGCTTCTCAGAAACGATTTCCATAGGAGGAAAGCTTCTGGAAGCATGTTAAAATGTCTGGCTTCCTCCTTGACATTAGGAACCATCATTTGTCATTTGCATCATTCACTCCCACCTACCTGGGTATTTGGCTACTGTCTCCTGTTTCTTCAAATTCCAGGGCTCTTTTCTTTGCTCCAGACAGGTAATCAAGTCTGGCTTAAAGATAGCAAGACCTGTTTTATTAGAAAAAAATAACATGACTCTTGCTAGGATAATCCAATTACCAGTCTATTACTGTGCTCAGTAGAGAAGAGAGAACATTATAGAAGGCTGTAGAAAATTAATTCCCATCTATTTCCTAACAGAAACTTTGGAATATTTAGAAAGTATTTTAAATTTGTGGGTTCTTAGCTCTATTACTCAGTAATACTGAACCAAAAATCAGTTGTGAAAACTGCATTTTTAGGTGTGAGTAACAATATTTTACACTACTAAATTTCTGATATTACCATTAATTTAGACTAAGGTATGCAGATGAGCTCAAAAAAGGGAAAGATTAATGTTAAGATGAAACATCTTCAAGATTATATTCTACCTCAACAGATACCCAATTTTTTTCTTTTTGAAGCAGGATTCTGAAACTCATTTATGCAAAGCAGAACCTCCAAAACAAAATACAAGAAAACAATAAAATATTTAATGTAGAATATGAGTTGTATATTGAAGTTATTCTCACCCAAGGAGACCAGGTTTCTGTAGTTCTCTAACATCACATCCCTATACAAATGCTGCTGAGCAGAGTCCAGGCATTCCCACTCTTCTGGGGAGAATTCTATGGCCACATCCCTGAATGTTAACACTCCCTGAAAAACAAAACATATTTACCAAGTGGCCATAGAAAGAATTCTTGACTTGACATCAGGTAAAATGAGAGTAAACAGAGGTAGTTCTGACTTATATGAGTTACTGCTGTTATCCAGTAGGATACTTCCCAGGACAGAAATATTCTGTAATGTATCTTTAACTCTGAGAAAAGATGGCATAAGATCATGAAATCAGTGATATGCAACACTTTTCTTGATAATACAGTATAAAATAAAGAACATTAGTACAGGTATGTACATTTCTTAATGCCGTATTTACATAGTACAAGGTAAGTGTCTATAGTTCCCATATGGAAACTTCATGGTGAGTTAAGATACTTCTCTAACCTTATTGTGTACAGCAACAAACAGGACATCTTGTTAAGACATAGTTTTTGATTCTGAAGATCTAGAGTAAAGCCTGAGTCTCCAAATTTCTAAGAAGTTTGCCAGTGGTATCATTGCTTCTGGCCCAAGAAGAATATTTTGTCAAAAATTCAGAAGTGGCAGAGCATAGGTTTTTAGCTTATTTGACCAGTAAAGAAAGATGAGAGGCTTCATTTTCCAGAGCAAGCTATATGCAAAGAGAAAATAAGAAGAAAGAAGAGCTATCAGATTAAATGTGGCTTAATCTTGTTTTTGCATAATGCTTGATCAAACTCAAGGTGCCTATTAATAATAAAAACAACTCTAGAGTGAAAAAATGTCAGAGAGCATATTTATCAAGTAAATAAGATCAACTCTATTAAGAGATATTTGTATCATGTGCTGATTAACAAAGGATACAACACTACTGTGCTATTATAAACGTTAACACAAAAAAGGGTCAACTTAATCTGAGTCTTGTCATAAAGAAACATCAGTTTGTTTTTTTTTTGTTTTTTGTTTTTTTGAGACGGAGTTTCACTCTTGTTACCCAGGCTGGAGTGCAGTGGCGCGATCTCGGCTCACCGCAACCTCCGCCTCCTGGGTTCAGGCAATTCTCCTGCCTCAACCTCCTGAGTAGCTGGGATTACAGGCACGCGCCACCATGCCCAGCTAATGTTTTTGTATTTTTAGTAGAGACGGGGTTTCACCATGTTGACCAGGGTGGTCTCGATCTCTTGACCGCGTGATCTACCCGCCTCGGCCTCCCAAAGTGCTGGGATTACAGGCTTGAGCCACCGCGCCTGGCCAAGAAACATCAGTTTTAAGCAAAATTTAAGGTATAAATACTTCCCATGTTCTGTAATTTCTAATGATGTATATAACTTTTTTGGTTAAACTTCATTTCAAAAAATTTTAAGTTCTGGGATACATGTGCAGAACATGCAGGTTTGTTACATAGGTATACCTGTGTCATGGTGGTTTGCTGCACCTATCAACTCATCATCTAGGTTTTTTTTTTTTTTGGGACGGAGTTTCCCTCTTGTTACCCAGGCTGGAGTGCAATGGCGCGATCTCGGCTCACCGCAGCCTCCGCCTCCTGGGTTCAGGCAATTCTCCTGCCTCAGCCTCCTGAGTAGCTG